TTAAACATAAAATAACAACATAATGTAACGATAAAATTTGCAGTTCAAAAAATTAAAAATGAATTTATCTTACAAATAGAGTAGATTAATCCAAAGTTTTGTTTCAATAAAATTTACGCTAACTGTTGAATTTTATGTTCAGAAAAAATATTCTTATATTTTATTTAAATTATATTAGTACAAACAATTACAAAAAATCGAATTGAACCAAAACCAAAAAAATTAAACTTAAAATACATAAACACGAACTTTGTTTTAAAAATAATAAAACTACTTAAGTTATCTAAAAATTCTATAATTATAATAATTATCGAAATATTTTCAAACAAAAATACCTATAAATTATCCATAATTATTTGTAATTACATAAAATACCCAAATATGATAAAGTCATTACGTGTTTGATAATGATTTTAAATATTCGAAATCATATATATTATATCCATATTATCCGATTCGTTTTTCAAAAAAATATTTCTGATGTACTTTTGATCTCCTAAATATTACTTTATAACTCAAATATTCGCTCTTATCCAATCTATTATCCAAATTAAATATATTTATACATTATTTGGTGTTGGAAATTTTCTTGAATTTAGATGAATTCAACTGAATCTTGCCATATATTTTTTGCTGAATTGCTGAATCTAGCTTAATCTGGTGGAATTTTTTTACATAGCAAATGGTAACTGCGGAATTGCTGATAAAACTTTGTAATTTTTTTTACGCTTCAAAAACGCTTACATTTAATCATTAACAAACATATTTAATCATTATAAATTTTGTAATTGCTGATAAATTTCTTTTACGCTTCAAAAACGCTTACATTTAATCTAAGTGTCCTGCATATTAAATTTTGTAAGATAAAATATATTTATCTATGTGGAATATTCTAATCCTGCGTATACCATTTGATAAAATATATATATCGTTCTAATTTTTTTATATATATTTATACCATTTGGTCTTTGTTATTTGTAAATAAAAAAATCATAATTTTTTTGTTCGAATATTCTAATACCGCGTTTGACGCGTGACAAAAATCTAGTTACCCTTTAAGTTCGAAAGCATATGAGTCTTATTATCTAGCTCGCTGCATACA